GTACGGTTAAAAGAACTGTGAGACCAGCGGTACAACGGATAGAAACGAAGAGGAAAGAAGAGAAGGAAAGCGAAGAGAAAAGAAGAAAGGAGTGGAGATGCGGACGCGTGCGGATTCGTTCGGTGGACTAGAGGGTGAATACCGTTGGCAAGAGCGAAGGTAGGTGCGGAGGTGAAAGTAGCAGCGCTAGAGCGACAGCAGAGCGGCGAATCGGAGGGTGAAGGTGGTTCGACCGAGAGAACGACGGAGCGGTAGACCGGCAGAACGGCAACCAGAGCGGGAGAACGAGAAAGCGAGAGGGTTCAGAACGGTGGATGACGATGGTCGGGGGTGAGGAAGGAAGGGAAATGGCAACGACGATCAATACTTCGCCACGCCTCGCGCCACCACCTACTCTGTCGGAGCGAAGCTCGACTTTTCCGACCATTTCGTCTCTCGGTCAAGAATGGAAACCATCCTGGATATGTCTTGCTGCTCGTGACGCTATGGTTTTTCAAAGTTCTCCGCAATTCGAATACATTGATCGCGCGCTTTCTACGAACAAGAGCTTAGTCCCTTCGGTCGATCGCGCGCTCTTTCGCCACTGTCCCACCATGCAAGCTACGAACTACCGAAACACCCGACAGTCTATCGCTTACAGTTTACACGTTCTCTGGTCAACCATCTACCCTACAACCGATACTTCATCGTCATATTTTTTGGAAAATCACCAACTAGTTGCAACGAAGCTACTTTTCTCGTTTGTTCCAAGAGAATATGAAATTGGGACAAACGATCACATATGTGACGAAACGGTTAGGAAGTGGCTAGGTACACATGACCTCGTTCCACGGGGTCACGATACGGGGGTGTGCGAAAACACGAGATGGCAGCACGCTACGGTGAAATAAGAACTTTTTACTATCCTCGATAGCTTTTATTTTCATTATGCTCCGCGCTTAATTTATATAATCTTGCGAACTTTAACCATGAGATCGATGCATTCGAGTAGATTAAACAAAACTTACGCGTGCTTGCTTCGGCGTTCGAGAATCGGCGAACGAACAAGGATTGTCTTACGATCGAGCATAATACGTGTCAAGATTCGTCTACGAACGATTGCTATAACGAGTAGGTAACACGATATGTCTGCCGATAATTCATCTTCTTCGGTACCTCGTCTAGGGCTTTAAGAGAAAATCGTAAATTTTACGAAAACAGCAATGTACCAACGCAAGTAACATGCTAACGCGAAATAGTATTATTTCGAACAATGAACTGATAACATGGTTTCAAAAAAGAGACAAAGCGAGAAGCAAGTATGACTTACCCCTGACAAGGATTTTACGACACCGAAATTCGATTTGGAATACGAAGCAGTTCACAACTCGCGACTAATTCGATTTTCTAAACTGGACAGCGAACGAAATAGAAAGATATCGAGAGAGTTGGAAAATTCTCGTACCGGAGAAAATGTATAAAAAACTATTAAAGCTAGCACCTACGAGTCGATGAATTGTTATTGTTTAAATCCAATCACAGCAACGTGCAAAGCAACGGTAAGCGGATTTAGATATATCGATAAATAACTACGGCAAGCGAAAAGCAATAATGGTGAAAATTGTACAAGAATATTCCACGCCAGCGATCTGCGGTTCGCAAAATTAAGGTCATAGCCAAGACCGTGGCAACGGAAGAACGAAAATATCGTTAAATTCGACTCGACGATATCAAATACGAATATCGACGTCAATAAAGAAACCGGTGATGTAGAAAGTATCTGACTTATAACATCAAAATTGAGTCCAAAGAATGCATCGATTACGCTGAGCGCGTGTCGCGTATGAAAATCACCCGCGTGACCGATCAACACTGTAACCCACAGCGACAATTCGCTATCGTACTCTGAAAACTGACTATTTTTCTCCATTATCCAACCGATGGTAGAAACTTTAGCAAAACCTCGAAGGGCACGATAGGCAATTTATTCTATCGAAGAAGAAAATACATAAAATGTACGTGTAAACAGAGGTTTGGGTAGCTGCCATGCAATCCATTATCGCCCCCTCCCCCCACAATCGAGTCGCAAGTATTCTTTGTAATAAACGAACGAATCGAAGCAAGAAAACCCGAATACGCACGCCGCTCCAAAATTTTTACACGCCACGCCCACTTTCTACCGAAACCATTCACGCGATGCACGATATTTCGATAAATTGACTAATGCTCGCGTTTGTAAACACGATGTAAGAACACATCGATGAGAAAGGTATATCACGCTTCTTTGGGGTAAAAGGGCGAAGATACGATCGGTCCGGATTTATTGTCAGAAAACGCGTGGCGCGCTGCATCGTGCGTAAACAAGCTACGTTTACGCGTGCTTTATCATCGAAGGGTCGTGATTGTGGTACACCAGCGGCGATAGTTTTGTTACGATATATGGGAATCTCGGATGTAAGAATAAACGTAAGAATAAACGTAGGAATAAACGTAAAAAAAACGAAAGAACCTGCTCAGTACCGTGTGACTCCGGAATCGAAACGTGTAAAACGCGGGTACTATTCGTCGATAAAAATGTTCGTAAGTATGATGCTCAGATTAAATTCGAAAAGACACCAGAAGATCACGATACGACGTCGAGAAGACATGTTTCGCGTGCCCAGATGCAAAATATAATATACTTTCGAACACAAACAGGGGATCGAGTAAGTTCGATGTAAAAAACTCGATTCCGTTCGTTTGACGAACGATCCGGGGCGGAACGAACATCGTCACGTCGCGTCGCGTTGCATTACGTTCGATGTTGCGATCGGTGGTTGCAAGCAAGTGGCCAACACGAAAATAACGCGTGCAACTGCGCTACTAATGCGCTTTAAGGCAATGTGCTCGCAACGGGAACACCATAAGAGGTTACGGTTTGCCGAATTAATTTGGCTTTTTCCCTCTAAACGACGACGAGGAGAGGAACGAACATGGAAGACAGAAATCAAGGAAAACGCGAGAGATGAATCGCGATGTACAGGAAGGAAAACCGAACGCACTCGCGCGCTTGTGCTTTGCGTGTGTGTGGATGCATGTGTGTATGTTAGTGCGTGCGTGCGTGCGTGCGAGCGAAAGAGCGAGCGAGCGAACGAGAGAGAGAGAGGGGGGAGAGAGAATAAAAGGGAGAAGGAGGGAAAAAGAGGAGGGAGAAAGGGAGCGGAAGGGAGTAGGAGCCCGAAGAGATCGGAGGGTCGGATCGGAGGTTAACCTGTCAGTTGACGAATCGATGGTTCGAGCGAAGGTGATGAGTTGTAGAGTGACGACGAGTGAAAGCGAAAAAACCGGACATTATATAATAATTGGAAATACTCACCTCTGCTGGTGAATGCGTGGCAGCCAAGCACACTAGTGCCAATCGGCGACCGCCGCTAATCGCTGCGAGTTCACCGAGTTCACCGTCTGCCGCACTAGAAAACCTTAGAATTTATCACGAAAACATGATCGGGTAACTTTCATAGGACGGGCGAGGAAGGAGCTCACTCTCGAAGCACCAACACTCGATGACGTCATTCCACTAGCGGCAACATGGAGCCCAAAACGCGATAGGACGCGGGCTCGAGAGACTCGAGTTAGGTCGCGCTCGCTTCGAGCTGTCCCTCGAGCTAACCTCAAACCGCTCGGCCGTTGCTCGCGAATACGCGAACCCTCGATCACCACCGGCTGACAACGACCGACTCTCCCGTGCACCGACACCGACACCGACACCGACACCGACACCGCACCGACACCTCTCCTTTCTTTTCTCTTCTCTCTTCTCTTTCCCTCCTCTTTTCCTTTTCCTCTCTTTCTCGCTTTCTCTC